ACTAGAAGAGCAACTATGGATATACAAACGGGAATTTAACTATGAATATGATAGCATTACCAGAAGTATATCTGGGACTGTGTGACCCCTGATCACCTGATTGCAGGTATGGTGAGGATAAAAGACAAAGCAATGCCTAAACAAGTTTGGAGTGGTCTAAGCTGTGCAAGTCTAAGACCACAAGGCCCTGGACTTGCCAGTATTTATTGGTCACACAACATCGCTGGGGGTGTAAAGACATGCAGGGAACAGCAGAGGCTAAGGTGTTGACAAGAGCCTGGTGTGTGAAAGGGAGGAAGGAATGATGCATTCCTGAAAAAGATGGGCCATAATTAACAAGTAACCTGTGTTGTTTAGCTGATGTTTGTCCTGGGACAATGGCTGCACAAGAATCATAAAATCTTCAGCTGCAGTGCCATTCTGCTGTCAAAGGTGCCACCGTGTCACTGACCATTGAGATCTCGTTGTGACTGTTGGCAGAGGGAATTCTGCTTCGGCATGCCAGCCGAAGGCTCATCTAGCAAGTCACATAGGCCTAGGACAGACTCATAATTTAATCAATAGCTAATTCAATAATATTTAGTATGGTTTCAAGCTGGTCACCAGCATTAGTGAAATTTCTTTGGACACTTTTTGGGTAGGGAGTGTTGGTTGATCACAATCGCACAGGAAAAAGAATGTTAGCAACCCAGTTGAAGGTGATCTCTAGGCCCTGTCCAGGGAGAGGCCATCTTGGCTAAATGTCCTTAAATATCATGGTCTCTTTGGAAAAGTTGTTTCTCCAATTCATAAGGCAGTCTCAAGCCTCTTTCATTAAGAAATACTTCAGCTTAAGCCAAGTCCTGCTTGGTTTCTGCATTGTTCCACTCTATAAAGTCTACTTGGAATTTCTTTTACCTTTCGTTCAGTCATTATGCCTTCAATGCTGTACTTCTTGGATGCTTTATGTTCATAGACCATTTCCATTAGCAGTAGGCAATACAAAAACATATGAGACAATACTGCTCCAAACTCACGATTCAGTGCCAAAATGAGTGATTCTGGCTTACTTGATACACAGTGGTCATGGAAACAGGGATAAAAGTTACGTGGGCTTCTCCACACCAAAACTGATGTGGTTACCACTATCCCCGGAGCCTAAAGTGCCAACAGTAGAAATCAATGCTGAGCTTGGGGCACCATTCCTTAGGGAACCACATGTCCACCTACCTAGTGACAAGCCTATTACATTGGACACCTTCTATCACAGAGGAAATACCTATTTGTTCTCACCAGAATCGGCACTTACTCTGGATATAGATTTGTATTCCCTGTTCACAGTGACTCCTGCCAGCACCCTGGTTGGTGGGTTTATAGCATCTTTTAAAACACAGCTTGGATAGAGAACTTGTTTTACAATAAAATAAGTAAGATGAAGGAGCTCACATCGTTGGTATTCCACCGATCTTACTGTTCAGGACACTTCACTACCCTGAACTAGTGGGTTTTATACATCCTTGAAATGGCTGAGAGCTCCATTGTGCTATCAACTAGGAGATAATACTTAGAGCTGGGATGCCATAGGCTTCAAATTAATGACCAATTCACAGTCTATTTCTCCCACAGAGGGAAAACACAGGTCGAACAACCGAAGGGTGAACTGTGAATGGCATTCCCCTTTCTCTTATTTTTAAATCCACTCCATTTTTTGTTTTTATTTGTTTATTCTTGGCTTCCCATCTCTTCAACTCTAAGATTTGCTAATTTAAAGTTCTTAGGTCTCAAGTGAGAAATGATTCCATGTGCACAAAACAATGACTTTGTAAACCTAGAAGTTGAGAGATGGTCGTTTTGGATTCTTCATGCCACTGGACTAAGAAGAAAGAATGAAGTTTTCTCTGGCTCTGGGTATTGACTGCAACCCAATGAAGACAGCGAAGTGTGGAATCTGTAGGGAATTCTCCATGCTAATAGTTCCATATTGGGTAGTGTGCTAGTGCAAAATTATAGCATCCCAATAAAGGCAGAGCCCGTAAGGACTCAGACCTTTCACAGTGATAGTTTGGTACCCCCATAAGGGGAGGAAGCCCAAACAACTGTGAGGCTGAGCCAGCTTGGCTGTGAGAGCAGGTAAGACATTATTTCTAGGGGTATCTGTGAGGGTATTTCTGGAAGATGTTCACATTTGATTGGCACACTGAGGACAGACTGATTTCACCAATGTAGATAGATATCATCCAATTCATTGAGGAGCTGGATAAAACACATATTCAGAGGAAGAGTGAATTTCTCTCTTGCTCCTTCAGCTGGAAAGCTACCTTCTCTGTTCCCATACATCAGTGCTTTTGGTTCATGAGTCTCCGTGCTCTAGGACCACTGCCCTTCCACTTCTCAGACCTCTGGTCTCAAATAGAATTGCACTATTACATCTCCTGTTCTACAGTTTGCACATGGCAGATGGTGGCGCTTCTCGGCTTTTATAATTGTGGAAGCCAATTCCCATTATAAATCTTGTAAGTATCTATTATATATAGCCTGTTGACTGTATTCTCTGGAGCTCCTAACTGATACAACTAATATGCCAACGGAGAGCAAAGGAAACTTGGAACGATAATGGAAAAAGCATGCTATAAATATAAATTGTAACTTTATGACTGCACAGAAATAGTCTATGGGAGTCATGTATATTTCCTTATGCTCCTTTTTGCTTTGTATTTACTTGAATAAATTAATCAGTTATTTATTACTTTTTTTCTCTGTAAGAAATTTAGGTGATTATTGCCTTTATTATTAGAAAATTCAGGTAGGGTGTAAAACAATGGAAGAAACATTAAGAGCACCCAGAGTTAGAAATGATCTGTGAAGAGAAATTATGTTATTTCTTTTAGGAGAGTGACAGCATCTTCCTTAAGGCCTATTTGTATAATCAGCTACTGCTACTTGATGTTTAAACACATTGGAGAAGGTTGAGCATTGAGGCCGAAGAACCAAAGAGCAGGATTTGTCTGTTGGCTCCTGACTCCATTCTTGCCCCTCCAAGCTTTTTTTTTACAATTCAGAAAAAATTTACATTTCCTAGACATTCTTACCAGCCAGCTTTTCCTTACAGTACATGGAATAGAGAAGTGTTTTCCTCTCTGCCTCCTACTGGGCCTCTGGCTGTGTCAGAGTGGTGGCACAGGTGGCAGGGCAGTTGTTTTCCTCAGCAGCACCAATCCAGAAACAGCAGTCAAGTTGTAAGCTGCACAATGGTCATAGGCTCTTAGTTCCATGTTTTTCCTTTTCCATAAGAGGGTGAGTGATTTCCTATAATTATTAATCTCTGGGAACCCCCCCCCTTTTATTTCTAGCCTTTCAACTTTTTGATAAGCAATTCCCAATGTTAAATTCCCTGTTTGAAATACTTAATGTGGCTCTATTTCTCTGAAAGAATGATTTCTAAAACAGATAAATTTATAGCCCAGCCCAGGCAAAGAAAAACATGGAGTCAATAGGTGAGGAAGAGAACAGTGGTAGACAGGCTAGGAAAAAATACAGTTAGAGAGATCAGATAATAGGCTATTTTTATATGGTCAATAAATGCATACCATGTTTTGTGATGTGAAGCAGTTGCAGGCAGTGATAGGGTCAATGTACCCTTGGAAAAAGTACGGGGAATGGAAATGAAAATAGAAAGTGAAATGGTTTCACTGTAAGGGATGGGACATTTTAACCATGAGGCAATAATGCTACCTGGTTTTGTTCAAATGACTATTGAAATGAAGAATAATTCTAGGACATGAAATAGGAAGAAAGATGGGGATGGGTCAGTACACTTTCTAAAATACAGTGATAATTTTTTATTAGGAGTATGCACTTTGATGGCCAAGATAGGCTTCAAGTAATCACATAAATTATTTCACTCTCTTCAAACTGCTAGACAAATGCACAATGAAATGTCAGTGACTGTTCTGCCTCCTGTCTCAGCAACAGCTTAGCGCTGCCAGCAGTTGAGTTAATATAAGCATACGTATTTGATTTTGTAAGCAGGCTGGTGTCTCAGATTTTCCTCCAGGGCACACAAAACAAAAACAATAAAAGGTCACAGATTAATATTTACCCTTGGCTGAAGTCAGTGCTGCTCTTTTAAAAATCTTGGGTTATAATCGTTAAAATGAAAAAAATCACAAGATTAAATGTATAAAGGCACAGCAATTACAATGGAATTAGCTTGTAAATTTTCAGAATGACATGAAATTATATTTGGTGAATAATATATTAAGATTATAAAGTCAAACAATCTTATTTATGAATCATAATCATAATTAGGAAGTCAGATGTTATTTATACCTCATATCAACGTGCTGTTTAGAAATGGTTCCTTTTACACTGCATATATGAACTAGATTCCCTAACTCCTCTCTTGCTAAAATCTTTGTAGTGATGGTACAGTTGGTATCACCTGAAATTTCCCTTCTAAGAAACACAATGCACTGATTTCTTATCAAAAGAACAAATCTGTCACTGGGATTCTGAGACTCAATATTTTATGGTAGAAAATTCATCTCAAATATCAGTTCATACAACTATAGGTAACTCTCTAAGTACTGATTTGTAAGGCTAATCTTAAGGGTAATATTTAAAAGATTTTACCAATATTTAATTATGAAATACTCTCAGCTATACCCTGTGATCTGTTCTGTATTTCAGCTTCTCTGATTCTGCCTTTTCACAAGTCCTCGCAAAGTTAACTCGGGATACCACACATTCGATAACTTCAGTCACTAGGTAGGAAGAGAGAAATAACAAAGGACAATAGGACAGAAACAGTATTACTGCTTGTTGGCTGTTACCAAGGACATGAAAATAATCAAGCAAATGTAGAAATGTAGAGAATATTTTCCAAAATAAAAATAGCTTTATTCTATTCAGATAATAAAATGACACACATTATAAAAAGTTCAAATACATAAAGATCTAAATAAAGATTAAATATTGCAGTCTAGAAAAGAAAAATCATTAACATTTGGCAATGGGGTCTCTGTAAAACATAAACATGTATTATATTAAAATACCCAATATTAAGTGGGTTCTTATTAAACATGCTATTCTTTAATCTGCTTTTTCACTCAATAATATTTCATAGACAGATTTCCATAGCAATAAATATAAACCTAAGAAATTTTAATGCCAGTTGCATACCATTTAATTACATAAATGTGTTGCAATTTATTTAACTCATTTTCTATTGTGGATATTTAGGTTATTTCCAATGTTTTAATGTCACAGCAGCATGAAGTACCTCTTTGGGCTCGTATTTCCACAGCTGTGCAATTCTTACTGAGATAAATTCATAAAGAAACTGCTGAGTAAAAGTTTTGCTATATATTGACAAATTGTTTGCTAGAAAGGCTGTATCAACTTTCATGCCAGCCAACAGTGAACAAGGATGCTGCTTGGCTCATATTCTCAACTGCTTTATTCTTTGTCACTCTCCGAGAACAAGATTAAGAATAAGATGGCAATCACACTAATACTTATTGGCTGTTTTCATTTTTAAACAGGAGATACTTTTAGTTTCTGTTACTCTTCTTCAGGGAAGATACTTCTTGAATTTGACTGAAGCGTCTTCAGTTTGCGTTCCCACACCAACAGTAGTGTGACTCACGACAGGAGTGACCCTCTAGACTCATTCTGGTTGGTTCCATAGTAGCAGAATCTAGCTCAATAGGTTGTTTAAAGCTTAAATGGTACCCCATACACTACTGCATATAACAGTGATAACTGATTCTGCATCTTCTGCAAATAAGCTCTTTTTACCCTGTTCCCTTCTGTTCCTGTTAATGTTGGTTTCTGAAAACATTTTAAAATTAAGGAACCAAAGAAAAACTTTAAATAGTCTCTTGGTATTTATAGAGATAACTGCAAAAGTTTATAACATGGTAGATAACATCCATAAAAAGGCTCATAAATTTGGCAGGCAATAAAGTTCTTTGGCATAAAAATGCCTCTCAAAAAATATTTGTATGTCAAACCCACAGACAATCAAATATAAATAGTTTGTGACAAAAAGACAGGAACAAAACACAACAAACAGCAGTTCATTCCCTGCCAAAGTACTGGTTTATCATTGCTTAACATGGTTTGGGAATATTTTCCACTACAGGGTAAATTTGTTTGCAACATACTCGAGGTTGAATTCCTCTTAATATTTGAAATTAATAACTTTCACCCAAGAATGGTGAAATGGATATTATGGATACTAGAAAGAAAAACTGGGTGCAATTCAGGTTATAGTTTTGATACAGTAAGTACCAGTGATGGCAAACTTTTTAGAGCTTTCAGTAACATCAGCCTGCTGCAGCCTGTGTACCACAGGTTCACCATCACTGGTACGTACCAGTGGGTTTGAAGATGTTTTGAAGAAACATTTGATTCACTCATTTTACAAATACTTATCAGGCCATACTGCATTCCAGCTAGAATGCTATCCAATAAGGATACAAAAATACACAGCACACAGCCTTTGTCCCCAGCAAACTTTCAATTTTGTAAAAGAAAAATAATTCTAGACATTTCCAGCATTATGCATTAGGGAGGTGAGATTTGGGTAGGACACCAGATGCACAGAAAAAGCATGCTGAAGATTCCACCAGTAGCCAAATAAATACCTTGGAGAAATTTTAATAGAAAAATAGGGCCTGTCATCATTGGCACAAAACATGCCATACAATGCTTTGAGCACACTAGCAGCAAGGCAAGAGGGCACTCTGAGATTATGAGTTACACAACAGAAAAGGAGGAAACTTGTCTGAATCCATTAGGAAAAGCTCACAGAGAAGAAGGTACCTGTAAATGGAGAACATGCCGAGATCTATTCACTCAAGTATAAGTTCCATAAGGATGAGATCTATGTTGGTTTTGACTTTCACTCCTACAACAGTGCCTGACACAGAGGAGGCTACTGATTATTTATTCAATGAATCGATGGATGGGTGGATTTACTTAAGTCCCATCAAATGACTGCAGAAGTACATGCCTCTAGCAGAGGAGCAGGATACTGAAAAACAGAAGTGATGGCAAGCCTCGTAGGCCTACTACAAATGACAAATCACTTTTCATATCCACTTGCATAAGCTTGAACTCCCTGTGGTGCTTTTGTGCAATGTGGAATTCAAGATCACAGGCTTTGGAGTCTGACAAAAGTGGGTTCCAATCTTGCTAACTTTTCCAAATCTGGGAGTACCTTACTTAGTAAGTCAGTCTCTTCAATCATGAGGTGACATTCACATCTTCAAGGGTAGCTGTAAGGACTAAGCATAAACACACATCCAAAGCTCCACATCCAGTTCCCATCACTCTCACCCATTCTTCCAGCCTGGAGATGGAAAGGTCGCACCCCCATTCCAGGGACAATCACTGTGAAGTGCTTCTTAATTGGTCTTCTCTATTTCTCTTAGTCCTTTCTCTCTTCTCAGTATGATCTCCAAGAAGCCTTGTTCACCTTCTCAAAAGTGTATAGTAACTACTTCTTATCCTCTACCTTTCAGCATTTACTTTCTGTTCCATTGGTGTATCGCAAAAATAAGAGATGTCACCAAATAGGTACCTTGAGTAGACATTCTCCTGCTTACTAAGCTGCTCCTTACTTGGATCCCAACTTGCTAGCTAACAAACACAGTACCTATTCTAAAGGATCAGTAAAAGCTTAGCAAATGCCACTAGTGATAAACCTCATATCCTAGCCTCACTGGACCATGGGTCTTAAAAGTGGTCCTACACAGGCTGGTGTACCAACCCATAAAAACTATACTATTATTCAGTAAGTCACAGATCATCACAACACTTAAAAAGTCAATAAAATTAATTATGTCAGAAATTCCATAGCTATTTTTAAAACAACAAAATATTTTCTCCATGTTTTAGGTAATTATGAGACAGGACAAAAACTCTAAAGAAGCATAGAAAACAGGATCTGCCTGGACAATGGTCCATGTTATGCAAAGCATGGAGATAAGGGAATTATTTTTATTTTACTTTTGTGGTGCTGAGGATGGAACTTAGGGGTTCAAGCATGTTAGGCAGTGGGTCTACTGCTGAGCCTCACCGGCTACACTTTGTATATTTTATTTTGAGACAGAGTCTGGCTAAATTGCCCAGAATCATCTCAAATTTAATATCCTTCTGCCTCAGTCTCCTGACTAGCTGAGGTTACTCTTTATGATTAGAAGCACAAATTCATGTTTGCTGACCAGAGGCTAGAAGTTCACTCTTGTTTCCTCATGCATCTTAGTTTCCACATCAGGAAGCCATGAAGGTACCCTCTGATTACCTATAGCAGGTTGCAAGATTTATTTCTATCAATTAACATGCACCCACTAGAAGCTAAATCTAGTCAGCAGGTCTGGATCATTCAGTGGAAGATTTATGTACTTTTCAGCCACAGTAGCATCTGCATATCGTTAATCAGATCACTGCCAGTTCATCTGACTTAGTCTTTAGAAGTGCAAAATAGACACTGTAGAAAGGTGATATCATTAATAAGATCATTAGTAAACAACATCTCTAGAGCTTCCACTCCAAGCTAACCAATATCCTAGGTAAAACAATGAGAATGGAAAAAAAAAGAAGTGATATTTTTCTCATAAAATGTATGGTAGAATCTGCCAATATATAAGAATGTGAGAAAATGTTAAGGCAGTGGTTCTCCGTGGGCTTCACCTCAGCAGTCTGAGGACCACCTTGGGAATCCGTTAGCCAATTTCTAACCTCAGAATGAATGATCAGTCAGTGAGTGAGGCCATGCTTTTACCAAGTCTTCTAGGTCATTTTAATGGGAAGAGGCCCTGAGCTGAGAAATGCAGGTGGCTTACTGGGGTCTCCAGAAGGAATGCCAAGGACTTTGGACCTCTAGAGCTGAGATATTTTTACACCACTAAATTTGTGATAATTTGCTACAACAATAGAAAAGGAATACAGTATAAGGAATTCACAGGCTAGTAAAAGACAAAGGATGACACAAGCAACTTTGATATAATTCAGAAAATGACAAGCATAAAACAGAAATACAAATAAGTTGCTACGGAAATGCTGATAAATTGAACACTTCTGGCTGGAGAGATTAAGGAGGTTTCCTGGGGGATGACAGTTTTTTAGAGCTTGACAATTGATTAGGATTTCAAGAGGGGAGATCCAAAATCACAGCAGGAGTAAAATCACACTGTTGGAAGGCACAGAATAGAACTCAAAAAAAGCTGACCTAGACTCTTGTGACCAGTTATCTTCCTAGCAACAATTACTTAATTAAAATGTCATAACTTCTACTCAGGATATAATAGGTCTCTGAGTTAGTAAAATAAGCAGTAATAGTCAACAACTAAATTATAGGTAATAAACTATCCTAACAATTTAAATACAGAAATACAGATAGATCTTGGGTAGGACTGAACATCCTTGGCAGAGAGGGCTCTGAGGATTCATTTGGGTGATACTGGACATGATGAACCAGCTTCTCTTTGGTAGGTTTTGATTGTTTTGTTTGGCTGATGTCAGATCGCACTGTGAATGACTAATTTGTATGATCAGGAGGCAGTTACTCTGACAAAACATCTGCTTAAGTTAAGTCACTCTGTGTTAGGTTGGGAAAGAATGGAACTGTCCTTATTATCTGCATAACCCAAATGTATCACTGGTCATTCTCCAAGCGTTACTTATGGAGAGCATGTTTTCCCCCAGGTGATACCCTTTACATAGGCATCTCAACAACACTTGCATTCTTCTTTGTCTTCTGCTGACATTTACTCCCATGTCTATATATATATACTGTTCATGTTTATTCCAGAGGGGCAGCTAATCTTCACTGGTCTGCTTCTGCAAGCCATAAGAATGGCTTGAGGTTTCAAAGGAAGAGTCCAAATTTACTGCAGTGACCTGTATGTCCTGGGATGAAGCTGTATGCTCCGGGGACCAACTTTTCTTGCAAGGAAAACTGAGCATGTTGTAAGCATCTTCATTTCTCTTACTCCCTGTCTTTCTGTCCAAGCCCAGAAATGTAACCTCAGACTGGCTACATTCAAAAGGAATATTTGGAGTCATTCTATCTTTCCTCAAGCCTTCGTCACGAGGCAGTGAATGATTATTCTGGTTTTCGTCATCTTCTACTGGAATGCTCGGTACATTATCCAAGAATACAGGAGAAGGAAACCTGAAGGACTTTAGTGATGTGGGCGGGTCTTCTGCAAAATATAAGCTGGCTTGAGTGCTTTCAAGAGCATTTAGGACCTAATTAACAAACAAAGCAAACACACATGGAGTTAAGCTTGAATAACACCTTTCATTTCTTTTTCTCTACATATAAAGAATATTTCATTATCTTTCATTTTCATGGAGTAAGTTCAACTTCAGAATTTGGAATTCGAAGAGACCTTAATTAAATATTAGCAAACTCCCTTCATTCTGAGGAGCACACCAAGTGACTTGAAGTAAGGTATAAAAGAAACTACACTGAAGTAAATATCAAGCAAACTGATTTCTGCCCTGGGTTTTTCACCAATTAGCTTTGTGGCCTTGGGTGAGTCTTTACATTTTCACACTAACCATAATGCATGGAGATTAGAAGGGCGTGAGGCAATGCTGACCTGATCTGTAGAATCACCTGAAAGGAGCATTTCTGTAAATATAAAATGTGACTGAAAAATGCAATAAATGTACTTAAATTTTTAAAAAATTTGCTAAAGTAAATGAAGTCATCTTTGTGTCTTCAGTCACATCATCATGGACACTTTGATGCCCCGAATGGATTTGAAATATTTATCTTTCATGGTCATTTTGACTTCAGGGAAGAGCCAGAAGTCACACAATGTTAGATCCAAGGAATGTTTTTGTGAGCCTGCCGTTCCATAGAATGGTATTAAGCAGCAGCATTCACCATAGTTTTCACCGCACTTCATAAAGACACTCATGAAAGAGGGGTTCCCGAACTGCTTCAGAAAGTGGCACCAAAGATGGCATAAGTGTGCCAAAATGAATGAGAATATTTTGAGGGAAATTAATGGCAATGTGTCTTTCACTATAATAGTTTTTAAAAATTTAAACATTCACCTTACATTTAAACATTTACCTCAAACAGATTGCTTGACTTTAACCTAAAGACTTCATTTAAAAAGTAAGGAAATGAGGGTCCAGGAATCTGTACTTTAAAAGAATCCCAGATGATTCAGATGTGCAGCCAAATTTGAGATTTCTTGATAAAATATATCTTCACACACTCACACACACACGCACAATTTTTAAAAACATGTATAGTTTTACCATTTGAAAGTGTTTTCATGTATATCGTTTCATTTAATCTATACAATTAACATCATTTTGATTTTACAAACAATAAAGCTGAAGGGGTCAGAAAAGGGAATCAATATCACAACATGGTAAGAAACAGCCCTGATGCCTGACCCCAGATCTCCTGGCTCCCAATTCCATGTCCCTCCAACACACAGCTCATAACTCCCTGCTGGGCCCAGAAGCTCATGCAGCTATTACTGGTGGTATGAGGCCTCGAATACGATTTTGTTACTCCCAGGCCAGTGCTCTTCACATATTGTGTGTCAACTCCTTGTTTAAAGCCTTTCCACAGCTCCCCAATAGATTGAGGACAAAGTCCAGAGTTTCGGAATGAGATTCAGAGCCCCTTACCACTCTTGAAAGCTGTTGTTATTATAATGACTACAGCCATGGCTCTCTCCCACCCACTTTCCATGATCTTGCACTGCCTGCAGTCTTACTTTCCAGTCTCCATCACACAGAAACCTTCATGGGGCTGGGGATTTAGTTCAATGGTTCTGCTGCCTGCCTGGCAAGTACAAAGATCTGAGTTCAATCCCCGTACCAAAAAAAAAACCCTTCATGGGTGCTGATGCTCTCTGCTGAGAATATCCTTCTACCCTCCCTGCTGCCTACTTCCAACCTCGTCAACAGCTAAGCTGTCACCTCTGTCAAGAAACACCCCAGACAGCCATATGCTGGTATGTATTTTAACCCTACATTCTCACATCAGCCAGAGCTTCTGTCTACTGCTATGCTTATCCTGCTGGACAAGAAGCCCATGTTTAGTGACCTGACTACCCCTTGACTGAGACCTGCAGGTAATCACTGGCTCTGACCACTGTTATCACTGCCTCTGACCACTGTTTTATCCTTAGCACCCAATATCAATTCTGCACTACAAAGTAGGCATTAAATTGGTATTCACTTATATACAAAAAAAACATATGGATAGATGACTGATTAGTTACATCTATAGACAAGTGAACAAAGTGAAAAATGAAAATATGTGACACATTTTAGTAGGGCAGGAATCTTAGTGAATGTTGAATAAAGTATTTCCTCCAAACTACTCTCATTAAATTTTAGGGGTGTTCTGGTTCCACCCAATAACAACCTCTACCTGATTAGCAAATGCTGAGACTTTCTGACCTGGAAACATCACCTATAGGCTGGAATTCTCTATGGGAGGCTAGATTTGTCTCACTGATAAAGAAGATTTATCCAACTTCAATTTCCTACGGCCCAGTTTGACTAGAACCATGTATATACGTACTTCATCCATTGATGGTCTTAACTTTGCCCGAGTTGCAGCACACTGGCCTGCCAAAGAGAAGAGCTTAGCAGAGAAGTTCCGAGGACAGGGATATACTTTCTTATCTAGAAATGACAGACACGAATCGAGGCCTCTCTTCTCCATCAATTCCATAATGAGATCCCGCTAGGAGAGGAGGACATAACCTTATTACATAGAACTCATTCAGAAAAATAACCAGAAAATAGGTGCCAACAGGAAAATGATTCTTACCAGCTGAATATGTTTAGGATCATCTAACACCACTTTACAACCTGTTAGAACTTCCATTATTACCTATAAGAAGCAAATAGAAAGTCAATTTTATGTGTGGATACATATACAGTATGTGTTGAACTATTACCTTCAGCAATGAATACAGTTCCAATACGTCATATTTTATTTCACTGATCACACAAAATTAATGTATAAGATAGTGACAGATAGAAAATGAGTAAGTCTAGAAGTTAAAGCTCTTAAAAGTGTCTTTTTATAATCTACAACATTCTGGGCAATAAGCTCTGGCTCTTTTGTTATTTGCAAGTGTTGACACTTACAATTCCAAAGCTGTAGATGTCTGTTTTCGTGGAAAGTTTTCCCTGTCTGATATACTCTTCTGGCATGTACCATAGATGTTTACTGCTGCCGCTAGTCACATTTATAGTAGAACTCTGCTGTTCCAGGTGGTGTCGGAAGTGTGCCATGGCAAAATCAGTTAGTTTGGGTTGAAACTGATCATCCAAAAGTATATTTGCACTAAAATTGTGATCAAGAACAAGGTAAAACATCATGAAAGCGTTTCAATTAAATACAACATGGCAAGCTCACCTTACTAGCTGGTTACAATATTGATAAAATAAAGCCAAACAAAAATTTCCAGGAAAACTAAAGGTTTAGGGGAAGTGGGAAGGGTAGGGGAAAGGAAATAAGGGAAAAGAAAAAAACTGAGAAGATGAAAGAATGGAAATAAAGTTTTTGTAAATAGGGAAGGGAGGAGGGGGTGAAGGGAGGGCAGGGGTAGGGGGGAAAGTGAGAACGAAGACCTGTCATATAAAGGTACAAGATCATAATGATGAATGTAACTGTACTGTACACCTAAAATGTACCAATAAACTCAATGAGAAAAAAAAATTTCAGGAAGTAGGTGTCATTTTTTTCATTTCTCTTGACATAGACATCTACATGTTGTATAAAACCTAAGACAAAAACCAGACCTATTAACAGTGAACATTTCAAACTTGCAGATACATGGAGTTGGTGGATAAAGCCAAGGCTCCATCACAGGGTAAGATGCTCACCAACCCTCACTAGGCTTCTGCTTCTCCAGCTTCTTCTACTCTGAAAGCTACTTCTGTATGCTGACACCTCATTTCAGCACAGGGAGAGGACAGAAAAATCTCCAATTCCATATTTCCAGTCTTCTGCCTTTACCTTGGCTCTAAAGAAGGCACATAATCCTTATATACAATGCCAGAACTACGGGATGCCGACGGTGAATTTTGGAAAACGTTTAAGTATTCCTGAATCCTTTCTAAAGTACGAGAACAACAAGGAAATCTATAAACTAATCCATGTATTTGAACCCTTATCAAAACTGGCGGACAGCTTTTCAGCAGTTGGTGAGCCGTACATTTGTGCAAGTGAGGCAGAGGTGAGCTGAGTGACAATATTTCCCCTTCCAGAAAACACTGAGGGCCTTAGGTCAGTGAGAGGCCATCAATAAGATGTGAAATTATTCGAAGGCACTGCATTTACACTGTGACTAATGACATCTGGTAAAAAGACAAGTTGTTCACCAGCAGGCCTTAGTGTATCACATAAATTGTGAAACCAGTGATTTACTCCATTCTAAATAAAAGTTAATGGTAGCCGAGTAAGAAGGATGTTCTGTTTTAGGAAAGCAGAAATTGCAAAAGGCCCTTTGGCAATCAATTTCAACCCTAATTCTTTGCCCTGCCTCAACCTTAAATAGAATGTTCAAACATAAAGTGCCTTCATCTACCCACGCAGGTTGGCTAAGTTTATGATGTGGGGCAAAAATAGACTAACAAAGAACATAAGACAACTAAAATCATAGCAATACAATACAAAAGGTCAGCTTCCTAGCTACCGGGGCCACTGAAGAAGTAGATAAACAACAACTTTGGTCCACACCTTCACTTCACTGTCTCTGCAACCTATTTTTTTCTACCCTGTAAGGCAATCTGCTGTAACAGAGCAGCCATCTTCTCAGAAGGACCCTTGGTTGTACACTGAAAATGTGGGGCAAATTCTACACAGGTAGTGAGTTTGACTCCTGACACTGGGGTCACAAATCTTTCTCTTAAGAGGAGTTCTAAGGTTTTACGATAAAGGGGAGAACTGACTCCCCAAATAATGTACTTTAGAGTGACATTTTTTTTTATGTTCATTAGTTTATTTCCTAATTAGTTGAAGCTTTCAGGCCTTAAAAATAAAGCAGGGTGATATACCTAGGTTATAATGCAAGATTTGAATTTCAGTGCTAACACCATGTTTGACATGTACAAGCGTGACTCACACAAACACACACACACATTTTAAAGGGGTTTATTAGTGCCAAGTAGCTCAGTTTGAGTGCCCAGCAACCATCAAAAAAGGTCAGGACTACACCCAATTGGCCCCAACGATATTAAAGGACACAACTGGCCTTGCAGTGATAGCCTGCAGGAAAGAACACATACGCTATCTATGTTACACTGCTGAAACATGCAGACTGCAGACGAGGCAAGACACAGTTCCCTAAGAGGATCAGAAGCCGTACAATGCCCTCCTCTACTTTGGCATGAGGTGCATCCTACCAGACATGGCAAGCTGAAGCCCTTTATTCACATGTAGAATAATAAAGCTTTCTCTTTTTTCACAAAGGTGTGAGATCATCAAGCTATCGTACAGATAGTCAAAATTATACAGAATGACTGAAATAACATAAGAACTTCATTTAACACCTTGAGACTCTTCAAACTTCTGGTTGGTTAGTCTGAGATAGAAAAGTCTGATGTCAAGGGTTTTTTCTAATAAATTTTATAAGAGTAAAGCATATTCCTTACACACTTTTTTTCAACTATAAAGCAGAAGTAAAAAAAAATTAAGCCCGAGTTTCTCCATCCAAATAAAGCACTGTTGATATTTTGGTGTATTTTGCTCTTAATTTTTAAATAAATGAATTTGGAGTTCTACAGTTATATTTATGTAATGTATACTAGTTAAATTTGACTTTTCCTAGTCAATCTTATTTCATAGACACAGTTCCCTGTTATTTCACACTATTAATAACATTACTTAATAATCTCAAATGATTTATAATAAAGCCTTCCATGATCCATTACACTGAACCCACATACAGAAAATAAAGCTAATATCTTTCATTTTTCACTCCTCCAGAAAACAAAACAACACAGCTCTGACTTACTTATGGAAAAGGTCACTGCTTAACACAGATTTTGAGATGCCCTTCTTTTGAGCCAATTTTCAGGGCTATACAATAAAAATAGCATTTCTTCTAGAAACTGTCTTTTCTCACAAAGACTTAAAAAAAACTGTGCAACAAAGACAGAGGATGCAGGGATTTCAAACCCTCGTAAAAGAATTGGGTTGTACAAACAAATGCCAATAATCATGGAGGTTCACATTTAGAAGCAAAAATGCAGGAGGGTAACCTAGGTCAGCTGAGTCATAGCTGACTCAGCAGCTGGGGCTGATGGAGAATGAACATTTGAACCATCCGACAAATGTCCACATGTTTGAATGACTGAGTTGGCCTCACTGTAGTTCCTAGAGAACAGGTGTGTAAGTCACTAAACAAGACGGGGAAACATTGTTGGATTTGGCACTAATTAGCATCTCTACTAGCAGCTTAGCAGAAAGGATGAGCATGCAATGCATAGCTGATTCGCCCAGGAGCAGTCAGGGACTCACTGAAGAGCGCTTATAAAACCATAGTTCTCCAGCAATCGTCCACAGCACTGGAACTTGATATCCTGATATATGTCCCACAAGTGTAATGTATGGATAGGCTACTTTTGAATTCTCACACTCTGTGAAGAACCCAATGTATTAGTCAACTTTCTGTCATTGTGACAAAATACCTGAGACAACAGTGTAAAAAGAAAAAAGACTTATTTTCTCTCATGGTTCAATGGCTTCATGCTTGGCCCTGTTGCTTGTGACTTATGGCAGCATCTATATTATGGCAGGAGCATGTGACAGATGAGGCCTGTTTACCTCACAGTGGCCGGGAAGCAAAGAGAGTGAGTCAAGAAATGGGTTGGGGTCCTATATCTCCTTCAAGGGCACGCCCCCAACAATCTAGCTTTCCAAAGTTTCCAACACCTCCCAAGAGTATCACTGCTAGTAGTGATTACAACTTCAACATGAGCATTACTGACAGATATTAAAGATCAAAACAAAACATTTAGCAAGGCAACAATCATCAGTGGCACCTCTACTAACTAAAATAATTATATATATGGCTAACCACATTTCCAGTTCAAGTCCTGCCTCTTCCATAATGTTTTACTTATCTCTGATTTGATCTCTTTTCGTACTCTGTATATCTATTACACACCCATATGTAGCAGCATTATATAAATGATTTTATAGTTTAGCATGGCTGGATAAGTACTTGGGATAGTGGCCATGTAAATAGTGGAACCAGCTAGCTGCCTGCAGAATCTTTCTATTCATACTTTTTTCTAAGACAGGCCTCAGTCCATTATCCCTAGAGCTCAGCCTACCAAATCCAGTTCCTCAGCCTGGTTATCACTGTCCATCTGTCCCTATTCCCTGTCCACCACATTCCCTATTCTTCTCCATTCTCATCTTACTTTATTCTCTAGCCTTGTCCTTTCTTCTTCAAAAAACTATCTTATTTTTGTCAGTACAAGTGGCAAACCTTGACTCTGCTTCACTGAACAAACTTCTTGCTTTCACAAAGAATAATCTCTCCCTTTCTGTCAATCAATCCATGGCTATGACTTAGTTCCTCCAAGACCTGCCTTGGAACTCTTACTACAGGAAGGCTTCTATGACCAATCACATGTTGGGCACATTTAATATTACAAATTTGTTTGTATTATCTCTGGAATCCGCTGAATTTTCTAGGACAAGAATATTATCATCAGTGTCTCCCCCTGTGGTCTGCACACAACAGGCGTTTCATAAGTATGTCTATTGAATGTGATTTTCAAGATTTCTAACAAATACATACTAAGACGAGTATTTTTGTTTTAAATAGAGCTTAGTTTGTGAGTCCACTTTTCAAATATCATCAACTGACAATGGAGATAAGTAGTGGAGTAATAGGTAAAAAGACTTAGCCAACATATCACTTAGCCTCTTACAATGACACTCCTACTACTTCTGGACCAAGTCTGAAGGGAGTCTACAGCTGATGAATGTGAATTCCTCATAACCTCCATATACTTTATGACATTTAGTGCTAAGAAACAGAAGCTATTAATTTATTATTAGCATTTTGCAGAGGGAAAAGCAAGCACAGAGAAGTTAGGCAATTTGCTCAGAATCACATTTTAAGTGTAAGGTCTGCTTCCTAAATCAGTTCTCTTTGATTTAAACTAGGGGACACTGAGATAAAAAGATTTTTGTAAGGGTAAAGTCAGACTTGGTAGTGCATGCCTATAATCCCAGCACTCTGGAATCTAAGGCAGGAGGATTGCTGCAAGTTCAAGGATATCGTGGGTTATATAGTGAGTTCAAGGCTAGCATGAACTACACGGCAAGACCCTGTCAAAAAAAAAGAGGAGGATGTGGAAGAAGAAGAAAAGGAAAAGTGGGGGAGGGATGGGAAGGGTGAAGGAAAAAGAGGAGAAGGAGAAAGAGGAGTAAATTCCTGGGTTTCATTTTTCTGAGCCCTATCCAGTCAAGTCTTCCTCCAACACTGTGGTGGCTAAATAGTAGCCCCTTCCCTAGCCTTATGGCCAGCTCTTTGATGGGTCCCTGGGATGCTCTTGGTTCCCAGCAAGTAGAGGTGACAACCAAGCCCCAATCTGAGAACTGCCCATAGTAGAAAGGAGCTGCTTCCTTGGTCAGATACAGGATGCAAAGACCCATTCACCCTGCCTAACTCTGAGGTATCTTTGAGGGCTGTTCCAGCTTCGCCATTTCCCTATTGCTTTGGCTGGTAAGTCAGTGATAACAATATCTGACTTGAGCTCTCCACCTGCCCAATTCTACCTCTTCCTCCCTGCTCTTGTGTTTGTTGTTCCTGACAGCGCTCTCTAAAAACCTCCTGCAGACAAATCTCTGCCTCTGAGCCTATTTCCTTGGCACCTGCCTGAAGACCTGAGCCAAAAATGAGAAAGCAGGAATCAAGGCCCACAATCTGTACTGCCACCCATAACAGGAGGGAGGTGCTAGGTGGGCACATCCCAATCCCCTCTTTAGGACCAGCCACATGAAGCCTTGGGAAGTGGGCAGAGCCTACATGTGCCTCCCTCCTCCTTGATGTCCCCTTCGCTGCAGTGTGTACTCTCCTTGTTCCTCTCCTCCAGCAAGAACCAGAACTCGAACATCCTCTCCCTTCTCCTGTCCTTCAAACTCTGTCAGCAGGAAAGGATTTGAAGAGCTCAGCCACACAAAGGAAACAGTAAAATTAATATATAGTATTACAAGTATGAGATTTTAAATAAACTAATGCTTACTTTAAGTTTTAAGTTTAAACAAAAGGAAGAATATCTGTAGTAAAAATTGCAGACACTTATTTACCAGGTAAAGTACATATCGGAGCACCTACCGCGTTTGATGGTGGTTGCAATTTGGGTGAAAGAGGTGGGGGGTGGCCACCTCAGCCTTCTGGAACCTACTCCACTGGGTGACTCCCCCACCCTTGAGCCCTTCACTGTCTCTCTACATCTAGATCCTATGATGATGATGCAACTCCACGTTGATTCTAGGAAGCTACTAATGCTGAGGAATTTCCACACTACAACAGAAGCAAGCATCTATGGGTAGCTGGCCCCACACCCCCAGGCATAAGTGAAAATCTAGTCTTTTCATGTGACAGTCACCCCCCCAAAAAACAAATAAGCAACCAGCTCTTCTTCTGTTCAAGTCAAAAGCACACTAAAAGCTCCTTTCAAAAATACTAAAAAATGGCTCAAAAGAAGCAGAAGCCTCCTAAATTCAGTCTCCCCGATAGCCAGTACAGGCAAGATTGTGTACTTTTGGACAGGTCCAAGATAAAGGGCACACAGGAAGCAATTCACCGGAGTGATTTTTGCTATGCTGTATTTACTATGTCTGCAAGTGTCTGTATGACTACCGCAGAAGAAAAATAGAAGACATCTGCTCGGATCTCAAAAGCTGAACACTAGGGCTACTGCTTGGCAGATTCTGTCTTGTCACACATTAATATACATAGTTACAAGGCAGCAGGCCCAGTGAGATGAGAAAGACTAGAGATCAAGGACCAAGAATTTCAATTGCTATTTACTACTAATGTCTTGCTAGGAATCCCTATGTAAGTCGCTTAACATTTCCTTAAACCTCAGTTTTAAAAACTGGAGTTGGGGGCCTAGGATTTAGCTCAGCGGTTCGGTGGCCTGCCTTGCATGCACAAGGACCCGAGTTCAATCCCCGGTACCAAAAAATAAAATAAATAAATAAAATAAAAACTGGAGTTGGGGAGTGTGTAATATAGAAGTTCATTTTGCTTTCGCTTATCAAGTATAATTAATACAGAATTATTCATGACTCCCCCCAAATAATATAACTTTCCTTTGGCAATGTAAGTGCAGCTTTTTAATCTGGCACACATGTTTTCATTAATAAAAAGTATACGGATTTTAATACTTAGAGGAGAATTCTTAATACAGTCATACATATACATACCTGGAAAACAAAAGAGAAAAGAATATGAAACATGACTCAACATGATGCGAAAGGGGCTTTCAGATGGAACCTAAAGTTCTCAGATCTTACCTGGATATAGTGCCACAGATGACTGAGCACGGCTGAGTACTGTGCAAATACCAGACAGCTTTGGATACACCAATTAATATACTGATTCGAACGTGCCAAGAGAGCGGGGCCATGTTACCCTAAAAAGACCACAGTAATTGGTACGGTTGTACTTTCTGAATATAAATCACCTACATGGTTATTTCACGGAAGCATTCCAGAAGACAAGGAGAGGGCAAGGTGGGATGAGGGAGGTGCGTCAGCATTGTTTTGTTTGCTACAACCCCTTTGTAATTTCAGACAGATCTAGAACTCTTTACAGGTGATGGAAATACCCAATAATTTTCAGTATTAGCATAATCGAAATGACTAGAGGGCTCGGGATATAGCTTGTAGTAGAGTAATTGACACTTTACAGTTCATTAAGATATTTAAATTACTTGTGGCATTATAGTTCGGGTAATTGAGAATAATCTGCTTTTCTTCTCATTTTAGTGGAAACAATTTTTTGGCATCAATTTTTAAACTACCCCTTCAAAAACATCTAGGAGAAATCATAGGATTCACTCCACCTCTTTCTCTTTCAGGAGTCTATATCACTTTCATGAGTATCCCTCATTTTGAATGATGCTTTGCATAAAGTTGTGCAAATTAAAATCAGAGAAATAAGGGTAGATGATGTAAACTCACTGAAGGCAGAGAATCAATAAACAATAAGGGCCCAATAACTCTTTTGGCAACCAGAACCCAGTAACTCGGGTACTTATAAAGCCTTTTAGTAGTAAGAAACTAATTCAGAGAAGTCCTCTACTTCTTTAGAAATTCATTCTTGGCTACACCCTCATGTCCACACACCTTGGCTTCCAGGATCCCTGGAAAGGTTGCAGTGGCTCCCCAACCCTCAGGCTCCAGAGGGTAGGAGGACAAGGCAGAATGATAAATATGACTTACGACACACTGTAATTTGTCAAAAAGTGTTCCGTTTCTCATATATGGATAAACCAGACAGAACTTCTCAGTCTCTGTAAAATACGCAGCCAATTCTAGTATGTTTGGATGGTGAAACCTTGAAAAAAGATTTTTTTAACATATCAAATTGTTATTCCAATGAAGAATATTCTGGTTTGGGGGATGGTACTGCAGGATGGGGAACCAGTCTAAAGCTGGTATACTTGGCAAAGGGAGCACTAATTTCATGGGACGCTTGATACAGATTTGCTTTCCTCAGTGATATAAAAGAGTTCTAACAGTATTGTACACAGCTAAACCAGTTAGAAAATATCATAAGACAGGCAAGGCCAGGCCCTCCAAGGGGCGAGTGAATACAGAAGATAACTGAGGCCCATTCACTGAAAGCCAGTATTCAAAAAAGATAAACCACTACATTCACATACTTCCCCTTGGGATGAATAGCAATGACTGATATTCTAAATAGGTCTCAATCACCTTGGGTGGAGACCAAGGTGGACTCCTAGGTTCAATTCCCAGTACTGAAAAATAATCAAATAACAAAATAAATGAAGCTGTAAGAAGAAAGAAATATTCCACTTAAAAGGCTATTACTTGTTTCTTTTAGTTGTAAGATTTTCCTATAAACACAGACACTCTCTCATATACATACATATGTATATACTGTGTGTGTTTGTGTGTGTGTGTGTGTGTGTGCACCCATGCATGTATATGGCTTCTGATTCTTTTTATCCTTCTTACCCAAGTAAGGATGTTTCTATATACAAACACATGAAGAGATGCTTACTTTTAAAATTGTCAAAAACTTAAGCTATACAATATCCCCACACCTACTATGATTTAGGTTCTATCTATAAAATGAAAAGCAATGAACTGAAAAGAAATTGTAGAGGTATATTTAGCTGTTTAAATGGTTGATCTATACCATTGACTGGCTAATTCTTCTGTAACTTAAAATAATTTAGAGAGCGAAAAATAGAAAGAAGTAGATAGCAGACATCATGCAGACACAATTAAGGCTCGTGGTTCTGTTTTTTTGCCCATAGAGAAGAAATGAGCATTTGTTATTTTTAAACATTAATGATCAAGGAGAAAAATAGTATTCATGAGTATATCTCATGAATACTAAATACCATAAAGTTACTCCTCTTTAGATTAATCTATAAAGTTGATACAATCCCAATAAAAACTCCATCAGGCTTTTTCAAAAAGAAACATAGACAAGTCATTGTAGTTCATATCGAAACTACCTCATCAGATAAACCAAGTAGGGCAGACATATAAATGTAAAAAATAAAGCTAAATGTACTAGGGAAAAAAATAACTAAAAACACTAGAGAAAAAAGATGGAGAATTAGTTTATAAACTCTTAGTAGGAAAGAACTTTGAAACTATGAAACAAAGCACAGAATCTACAAAAAAAAGACAAATTCAAATACATTACAATCACTTCTACAGGGCAAAAACTAGAATAAACAGACAAAATGAGACAGTCTGGTAAAAACTTATTTGCATCTCAAAACAGAAAAATACAATGATGGTTGATTCAATAATTAAAACTCTTCCAAAAATGATAGCCAAGAACCATACAGCTTCACAGATAAATTCTAACAAGGTTTAAAGAATGGATGCCAATCCTTCTTATATTCTTCCAAAAAATAGGAATGGAGAGAACACATCCAAAATCACTTTACTGGATCACCGTTACTCTTATATCAAAGCCAGAAAAGAACACTATCAGAAAAGAAAATTATAGGCCAAGATCCCTGCAAAATTCAGCAAAATACTAGCAACCCAAATTCAACAGAATATCAAAAGGATAAAATGCCACAATTAAATGAGATTTATCCATGGTGTGCAAGTGTGGTTCAACCTAAACACCACATTAACAGACTGAAAGATAAAAATCACATGATCATCTCAATGGGAGCAGAAAAAGCATTTGACAAAAGTCAATATTCCTTCCTGATACAAAGTCTCAATAAATTAGGTATAGAAAGAATGTGCCTCAACACAATAAGGCTATACTTGACAAAGCCACACCTACATCATGATCAGTACTGACTTTTCCTCTAAAATTGGAAGTAGTGTAAGGATGTTTATACACACTACTTCTATTCAGCATAGTGCTGGAAATCTTAGTGAAACCAAGTGGTAAAAAAAGACAGAGACAAAGACAGAGAGAATAGGCAGGGAATTTAGCTCAGTGGCTCCGGTGCCTGCATCGTAAGCACAAGGACCTGAGTTCAATCCCTGGTACCAACAAAACAAAACAAAACAAAAAACAAAGACAGAGAGAATAAAAAGCGTCCAAATTGGAAAGAAGGAAGTTAAACTGGCTATTTGTAAATGACATATAATCTCATATATATGTATAGAAAACCCTGAGGGCTCCACCAAAAAAATTGTTAGAATCAATAAATTAATTCACTAAATTTGTTCAATATAAAATCAACATATAAAAGTCAGTTATGTTTCTTTTTTTTTTTTGGTACTGGAGATTGAACTCAGGTCCTTGTGCTTGCGAGGCAGGAGGTGGAACCATTAAGCTAAATCCCCAGCCCATCAGATATATTTCTATACACTAATATCTGAAAAAAGCAATAATTCCCTATCCAACACCATCAAAAGTATTTAGAAATAAATGTAACTAAGAAGATGAAAGATCAGCACACAGAAAACTGTAAAACACTGATGAAAGCAAAGACACAATAAATGGAAAAACATTCATTTGTTGGAACTCGGATAATACTAAATACACTAACTGGAAGAATATTTTTCTTTCAATAAAATGTTCATCATACACAAAGTGATCCATACATTCAATGAATTCCTATCAAAATTCCAGTGTATTTTTCACAGAAATACAAAAGAATCCTAAAATTCATAGTGAGGACTGGGGATATAGCTCAGTGGCACCATACCAAGGTCCTGAGTTCGATCCTTGGTACCAATAAATAAATAAATAAAAAGATTCTGTTCTAAAATTCATAGTGAAAGATTCCAAATAGTCAAAAGTAATATTGAGAAAGAAGAAAGATGGAGGCATTCACTTCCTGATTTTTAAACTGTATTACAAGGCTTTAGTAATCAATAGAGTATGCACTAGTATAAAATAAACACACAGATGAATGGAATAAAATAGGGAATCTCAAAATAAACATGCATGGGCCCCTCCAGATATATGCATGCAATATATATACATATATATGCAATACTACTTTACACATCTCTACAGAAAACATCAGAAAAAATATTTTCTATTTGTAAAGGATGATGAATGAATGCTGTAGGGTTAGGGGCCTCCAATGAGGAAGGCTATATATACATATTTTTCTTTTTCATCTTTGACAAGGATACCAAAAATATACAAGGGGGAAAGAAAAGTCTCTTCAATAAAGAGGAAAACTGGATATTCCATTCAAAAGAGTGAATTTATCTTGCAACATACAAAAGAAAAATCACTCATAATTATATAAAGACTTACATGTAAGAGCCAAAACTTTAAAGCTTGAGAATGATTTTTTCATATAGCAGCAAAAACACAGATTTCTTGTTGCAGTATTATTTTGTTTTTTTTGTTTTTTGTTTTTTTGGTACCAGGGATTGAACTCCAGTCCTTGTGCTTGCAAGGCAGAAGGCGGAACCACTGAGCTAAATCCCCAGCTATATTATTTTGTAATAATAAAAAAATTAGAGAAGAAATCTCTAAAAATCCCTCAACTAGAGAAAGGTATAATGAAGGCAGCACAGAAAAGGACACACAAATGACCAAAGTGAGCAATATGCTAATGCTACCTTCTGTCACACACACACACCCACACACACACACACAAGAAACTGATTATCACTGTTGTTCATCTGGGGAGTGGTAGAAAACCTTTACTTGGTTTATGTTTTTTACACTTTTGGAATTTTGAAAATTGTACTTTCATAGGCAAATAAATAAAATCTAAATATGAAAACATACTATGAGAATTCTGAATTCAATTTTTACGGACTAAATGAACACACACACCCACACACACACACACAAGAAACTGATTATCACTGTTGTTCATCTGGGGAGTGGTAGAAAACCTTTACTTGGTTTATGTTTTTTACACTTTTGGAATTTTGAAAATTGTACTTTCATAGGCAAATAAATAAAATCTAAATATGAAAACATACTATGAGAATTCTGAATTCAATTTTTACGGACTAAATGATAGCTATTAATTTTTTATAATTAACTTCTAATATTTGCATTTCTAGCCTATAGTACAAGAGGGGAAAGATTCAGCATAAAATCTTCTCTGCTCACTTTCCTTTGCATCACTAATTTACATATCTATTTAAGAAACATTTGAAAAGAACATTTTCTATGCATAAAAGGTGATGAATGGATACTATAAAACTAGAGGCCTCCAATGAAGAAGGCTTCACAACTGCAGATATGAATATATATGAAAATGAAGCCACTTAAATTTGTCCCCAAGGACTCTCAGATTTATGAATGAATTTCCAGAAAATAATACACACATCAAAAGCATTTGATTTCTTTGTCTAAAACCCTCTTCCTGAAGAGACTTACACTGATGAAATAGTTTCTAGACTGGACTGTCTCCAAGGAAGAGGGAAGCACGAAATATGTACAACTCCAATGTCCTGAGAATTATTATTTAGTCACGTCAGTCACACACAATTTAACCCATATCCTTGTGACAGTTTTTTGTTAAAATATGTTCAGGTGAAGTATGTAAATGGTCTGTTTTTAAATGCATCTTAAGAAATATATGGAAGCAACTGTCAAAAATTTATCCAATGTTCTAATATCCTACCCACATTAATTAAATGCCAACCATACCAAGCACTGTGCTGTAAAATCAAAGACAAACAGACATGAATCCCAGGCAGAAAGAGGGAGAAATTCCAGATAAAATATACTCACAGTAGTAAAACTTCAAGCTCAGATAAAAATTTCTTCAAATGTTTCTTATACTGCATTTTTTTCTCCTAAATATAATTTTAAAGCGAGAAAAATTAGTACTATTTTTAGTATAAATGCATTTGCAAATTTTTCTGGAGTAAGGATCCTTCACTTTCAAAAGACTTTCAAAAACCCATTAATCCCCAGATTTAGAAGTGCTGCTCTTGAATTAAAGTTTTTCATGTAATGTATCATGTTGCCAAATTTTATAGTCAAACTTCCACCACAGTTTTACAAAATATTTATTTTGTAAATATTATTTACAAAATAAAAAATTATGTATTATATATGTATATATATAATTATATATATTATATATTATATATGTGTATATATATGGAAAATCTCATGAGAGTTAAAAACTCTTCTTCCCTTGATTGCACCAAGAAAACAATTTATGTAACCTGCAATCTCCTGCAGAATTTTACTATTTTTGCCATTTATGGGTTGGCTCATTTGGATATGCTGATTCAAGTTTACATTGCATTAATTTTGAAAAGATAAGCTTACTAAGGCAATGAAAGTATAACTTGTTACTACAAAGAAGCTTCAAAAGCTCACTCAAAGCTTGACACACGAGTATTGAATACATTGGTAAATTTAATGATGGCATTGTTCTTAGCCCCTATGTTGTACTTAGCACAATTTTGATGCCTTCATACACGACATATCATGGCATGTCCCTAGATCTCAGTTCCTAAATTCTGCCATGAAAGAGTTAAATTAATTTTGCTTCTAGGTCTTGTCAGCTGTAAGGTGCTCACTTGCGAATTGCTAGAAAGGTGAGAACTTTTAGAGCTCTGTCCTCAGAAACAAAGAGAAAAAAAATCCAGCAGGCATTCTTGAAGCTATTGTCCAAGCTAAATTAGAAACAACAATCTGGTCTAACAAATCACATTCAAGGACCACTTTATCAGAAGTTACATTTACACGTTCACTGTCCTAGGTGCCAGGTAGATTACGTCTCCATTCTTTGCCACTTTTTACCAGTCATTTAATTTCTCTGACGTTATAATTTTCTTCAGCTGAAAAATGAAGGTGTTATTTTTCATGTTTCTGCTCACCTAGCACTCTAACACGTTGTTGCTGAAAGTGTGGTTTTACGAACCCCCCCACCAAACCATAAAAAATCTACCAGCTACAATGGGAGCTGGCAAGGAATGCTGAATCTGCTGGGCTCGTGCCCAGATCTGCTGAATCAGAATCAGCATTACAAGATGATTCCCAGGTGACAGGATAAATATTAGCTTGAAAAGTGCACGTCTGACACATGTTATACATTTTCTCACTTTCTCACTTCAAGGAGTGGGACTTAATGTCCGATGTTATAGAATTAAATTTCTTTTCAAGATGTTCTGTGGTTAAGACTTCATCAAGTGATCTTATGTCTTCTGACAGATGTATGCAAATGTATAAGTGTGTGTGAGCATGAGTGCATGCATGTGAGTATTTGTGTATCTGGGGGTACACTAGGCTGGTAAAGGGGGTGGAAATAAAAGCAGAGGGCAAAAGTCCAATCATATTTCCATTAACCACCTTAAAAGAGAGTTAAAATGTTAGACAGGATCACAGACAGTAGGACTTTGTTCAGTCCTTTGGAGTTCTTAGGTCTATTTACTCTTAGTGCTTTACAACTAAATTCTTGAAAAGGGATGTGTACTTCATTCAATCCATCTAACAAACACTTAATGACGAATGCATGGTGGTGCAGCCCTGTAATCCTACAACCGAGGCAGGAGGATCACAAGCTCAAGCTGTCTGAGCAATTTAGTGAGGCCTTCTCTCAGAAAAATAAAACATTTAGCTCAGTGGCGCCTTGACTACCTCACAAATGCAAGGTCCTGAGCTTGATCCCCCAGTACCGGAAAAAAAAACAAAAACTAAAAAGGGCTGGGGATGTTCCCAGCATTGGCTAGCATGTGTGAGACCCTGAGTTGCATCCCCATCTCAAAAAAAAAAAAAGTGGGACAGCTTCTATAACAAGGCAGTTAGGCACTAGGATACAAATACAAGAATTCTTCAGAGAAAGCCGGTTAATCCACTGGGAGAAACAGATGAAGAAATCAGTACTATGAAATAATAAAATAATGCTGTAGGATGGTCATCTCAGTCGTACTGGAAGAACACTCATCTGGAGAACAAGAAGAGAGGGGGATGCAAAGGCAATGAAATCCCATTCTAAACTCAGACTAATGGAAAAAAAGTCCCAAACTGGAATGTGATTTGGTAGCAACTGCAAAGACCTTTTGGGTGGTGGACTTCAGGCTCAACCATAAAACATCACAAAAATGGGTCAGAATTGACAGTAAGAAGATGGCTTCAGTTAGGCACCTCTAGGGCAACCACATTCTATTCGGTAAGTGGCTTTGCAAATAGATTTTTGTTATTATACTGCTCATTTTCTCAGGAACCATATCTACATAGAACAAGTGGTACAAATTACAACTTTGGAAATGAAGAAATCAAGTAAATAATTCTTTAACAACTCTGTAATATACAGTAAGCTGAAAACTAAAGATTACTTTAGATCCCTCCTTCTCCTCTATGTCCCAAACCTAACCGAAGAGTCACTAGATTTGGTCCACTTCACCTCCTGTCTTGGACACAGCTCCTTACCTTCCGCACTGTCTTTGCTCCTGCCTATAGCCGAGGTGCTTAGCTGTCCAGGTTAAGCACTGTCTATATCTTAATTTATACATCTAAAACATCCCTCTACCAGGTCTCTCTTACTCTAGTCTAGTTCCTATAATCTTCCTTCAACCCCTCTTCAAATTTCAACCTCACCATCTAGTTTTGAATTGAAGTTATATTTAAAGCACAAATCTAAGCTTTTCATTCTACTTAAAAACCACCTACAGTTTAACCTACCAGAGGTGATCAAAACAAACGGTGTGTTATTAAATTTGAAAAACTTATAGTAAAAGACACATTGCCATTAATACCCCTCCAAAAACAATCCCTCACTTCAAACATACTTATCCCATCATTCTTGCCACTTCTGTTTTTTGAGACATGCCCACTGAGCAGTCACTCTGCTCCAGATATTCTTCTAGGTGCTAGATGCATCCCTCCTCTGGGTGGAAAGATGCTCCCTGTTGTGCACTCCCGGGCTCTTTTGTACAAATTCTCTGCTAAAGTACTTCTCTTCTGCAGTTTAATCTTGTCTTAAATTGGCAAGTGCCCCTGAAAGCCTGTGAGCCCCGTGAGGATAGAAGTACGCCTTTTTCGTCTCTCTGTATGTGGATGTTCACAGGAGTTGGCTGTTTGTGGACTGCTGACTAACAGTGAAGAACAGGAAGCTCGGCTCTTTAGGTACCTATCACTTACAGACTCTGAAGGCTGATTTGCTACTTCCCTCTCTGCTTTATTGGCTATAGCACCTTAACTATCTTTCAACGTCCACTTCCTCTGACAGTGAGCTTGTTGTTCCTACCTGAAGCCTCCTCTTTGCCACCCTCCTGACTTGTGATAGAAGACAACTTACGCAGTAGCACTGAATCCCTACCACTGGTGTGACCCTGAGGCTGCCTGAAGAGGACAGTGCTCATCCTGAGAAGACTAACACAGCCTAATCCGTTAAGTAAAGACCCATAGGCCCTCTACAGCTTTACACAGAATTCTTTTCCATCCAATATATCTGAGGATGGGAAGGATTTAATTTCCATATTCCTACAAGGTGGACATTCATTTCTCAGTCAGCTCTCTAGTAATATGTCTTATTTCCACTTAGAAAATGTTATTTTCAAATATATGTCCTTTCAATGTTGGTGCAAGTGACATAGAATGGATATTCTGTGATAATAATTCATTTCATACCTGTTTAAATAATTTAACAGCATATATTTGGTTTCGAATCTCCACCTTGTATACCTCGAAAATCTCCCCTTCACCAATCAGGAAGTCTCTGTGGAAATCTCTGGTTCCTTCTACGATGTTTTGAAAGCTGATGGGGGACTTAAGCAACATTCCTCAGAAAGGAAAAATGGGAGAAGGTAAGCCACCTTTTCTTTTTTCTCTTTTTAAGAATCAATGTAAAAAAAAATAGAAGAATCAATGTCACTGTGATATCTAGGACTTCCAAAATGGAAATACATTACAGCCCAGTGGAAAGTCAGTAATAAAAAGCCTACGAACCCAAACTGAAGTCCAGCACATGCTCTCTGCTCATTTACTGGGCCCTGGTTCTCAACATATTTGGACAAGTATTCCTGTGATTTTATCCCCTCTTCAAAGAGATCAGCCAAAGAGCATACTTGGGAAAACTTCTGTAATATTCTGTTTCCTTGTCAATGTAAGGCTGTTTTTCCTGTCAATGTAAAGCTGTTGACCTATCATGAACCTAAAACCACTTTAAAAAAAAAACCTCTGGGGCCAGGGATTTAGCTCAGTGGTTCTGCCGCCTGCTTCGCAAACGCAAGGTACTGAGTTCGATCCCCTGTACCAAAAAGAAAAGAGAAAAAACAAATAAAAACAAACCTCTGAAGTGGAACTCTTGATATGTTTAAACAATATTCTCCAAGCATGACTGAAAGAAATAGTTTTCATGAGCTAAACCCTCCCTAATGGCCTAATTTACTTTTAGAATAAATTAGGAAGATAATCCACTTTTAAAAAATCTTCCAAAGGGAGACTGAGAACAAACATTTAAAATAATCTCATACAAACTTTTTAAAAATGCTTGGCTAAACCCATCAGAGCCAAACATGCACTGCATTTCCATAGCTAATAGAGAATACTTTCTAAAGACATTTGTAATTTGACTTAGATATGACTGTTAAAAAATAGAAACCTTATGTAACCTTTTAAATTATCTTTTCAACAAAGGTACCATTAGATCTAGTGAAAAAGATAAGGCAAGCAGCTGGGTGTGGTTACACACGCCTATAATCCCAGCACACTTGGGAGGCTGAGGCAGGAGGATCTCTGAAAGTTCAAGGCCAGTTTGGGCTCCACAGTGAGTTCAGCGCCAACCTAAACTACAAAGTGAGACCCTGCTTCAAAAAAAAAAAAAAAAAAAAAGATAAAGCAAGGCAGGCTTAAATAAAATTTTGTCAGACTGATTCCCAGGTGGGACTAAATTATGCTCTCTAATAAAAAAGCAGGAAAGTTAATGTGAAAACTGAATTTTCATATGGACCTTCAGCATCGCTCTATAACCACCTGAAAAGATTTTTACAACTGCTATGAAATTTCTAAAACTATATAAAAGGACATGAATTTTAAAATGTTTTTTTTCTTTTTCTTTTTTTTTTGGTACTGGGGATTGAACTTGGGCCCTTGTGCTTGTGAGGCAGGCACCAGAACCACTAAGCTAAATCCCCAGCCCTTTAAAATGTTTTCTTATGACACATAAAATGAAATTTTACTAACAAAGAAAGTCCCCATGAGAAGAGACCACAATTATGTTCTTCATTAGCCAAAGGATTCTTAACATCGCACAGTCTCATCCATCATAACTATAAACATCAACCAGCATTCAAAATATTTTGAAATCTATGAAAGTTTTAAACTGAACCTGGATATAAATGGTTAAAATGTTTATCGGGTTTGCTCCTAACTAAATTCACTTACATGACTTAAAGAAAAAGTTGATTTGTTTACCTTTTTCATTATGTTCAGGAATAGGAACATTATCCACTACGACACTGGCTGTTTCCTAAAAGAAAAAAATACATACTAAGGTAATTCCATTTCATAATTTGAGAAAAAAAAACAGAGCCTTAACAGAAATCCAAAGCTCCCCCCTGAGACTGTAGAGTGAAGCAGAGCAGAATTTAACTTGGAAGAAAGCTAGTACGAAGTGAAGTTAGTTCACTTTACTCGACAGCACTCACTGCTGTACCATGTATGTTACCTCAATCAACTGTAAAAATTCAAGTATCAATGTCATAGTCTACCTAAATGACTTCCAATGCTATAAAAATCACCGCTAATCTGCAATAATAAAAAGCAACAGTAACACGCAAAACACCATCTAGAAAAGGAAGATTAAAAACTGAGTTAAGACAAATGCACAACTCACAACATTGTTAATAGTACTAAGTCTACACTCTAATAGATTATAGGAAAATAAGGCTTTAACTTTTCAAATATTTACAAATCTCTAATTTCCTGAATCGTCAACTAAACAGTGAATTATCAGATAATAAAGCCATTTTCCATTTTTTAAAAAATCACTTGTTTATCCAACACTCTTCTGCCAGAGAATTTCATTTCTATACTCAATTATATAAGAGGAATAGCATCCCACAGTCTTGTTCTACACACACATGCTCTACCTTGGCTGGTATGTTTGGAAATCCATATTCCTGACGGCTCCGCTTTAAAGGATGCAAGCCTGTTCCTGAAAGAGAAATAAAGAAAGCTAGTACAAACATTTTTATGTTTCTAGTGTTTTTTGTATATTGCTAGTAATGTTCATGTCTATAGTTCAGTTTCACTCATATGGAATGGTTACAAATTTACACATGTGAAATAGTTTTCTAATAATCAAATCATACAAATATTATTTATTTACTTAAAACAAATGGCTGCTTTAAATTGTCAGGCATTATTAAAATACAAAATAGAAAATTGAAAGCAAAAATGTAAAATTGTTCTTAGCTTTTTGCACATATATTTAAAATTTTTAAAGTTAGAAGATTTCTGTGGGTTAGTTTATTTTTATACCATTTTATGCCATAAGGTATTATAGATGGTTGTGTGTGAATGTGTATGTGTTATGAACCATCAATACTCACTGCCTATTCTGAAATATAGACTATAATTTTGTTTTTTATAGTTCTGCCTGAACTGAGGGAATAGATACAGCTCTCTACAAAAGATTAAAGCCTTGCTATTTCACTGTCATTTCTAATATTTTAATTCAGACTACACAAAACTTTTATTTCACCTTCCAGTTTTTCTTAGATTATGTTGCAGTGTTTCTTAATTATTTTGATTAGAAAACTAGTAATTAATAACAAAACTTAATAAACAATACTATAAAACTAGATCTTACAGATATCTATAAAATATTCCATCCAAAACAAGGTATGTACATGGTTCTCCAGTGCATACTGGACATTCTCCAGAATAGGTCAAATATTGGACAATTAAATAAGCCTCAAGCCGGGTGTGGTGGTGCACACCTGTCATCCCAGCACTCAGGATCTGAGCGAGGAGGACAGCTCCTAGTTCAAGGTCAGCCTAGGCTACATAGTGAGTTCAAGCCAGCCTGGACTTCATATCAAGACCCTGTCTCAAAAACAAATAAATAAACAAACAAAAAACAACTAAAAAACAAAACAAATAAATAAGCCTCAATATATCTGGAAGGTTTTAAATCATACAAAGTATATTTTGTTTTTTAAAGTCATTTGTATTAGTATGATGATCCATAATGACTATATTCATTACATACTGCAAACAATGTATATTTTCTAACCACAAGGTAATTAAAGTAGAAATCAGCAACAAAAGAAAATTTGTAGGGCCAGGGATTTGGCTCAGTGATTCCGATGCCTGCTTCCCAAGCTCAAGGACCGGAGTTCGATCCCCAATACCCCCCCAAAAAAACAGACCAACAGAAGAAAATTTGTGAGGGTCACAAATATCTGGAAATTAAACAAGAAATTCATAAATAACCAATGAGTCAAAGAACTCACAAGGTAAATTAGACAATACTTCAAGATGAATGAAAATGAAAACCCAACATACCAAAACCTATGGGATGCAGCATGAATAACGTTTACAGGAAAATTTATAACTGCAAATGCCCATCTTTAAAAAGGAGAAATACCTCAAATCAGCCAACTAAATTTTCACCTGAAGGAACTAGAAAAAGAAAAGCAAACTAAACTGAGGTGAGCAGAACAAAAGAAATAATAAAAATCAGAGTGGTGAAAAATTAGAGAATAAAAAACAAAAGAGAAAATAAGTGAAATCAAAGTTGGTGCTTTGTAAAAGAAAAAAATAGACAATCCTTTAACTAGATTTACTAAGAAAGAGTGACAGAAAACACAAACTACTAAAGTCAAGGACACATCACCATCAAGTTCACAGAAACAAGAATGAAAAGGTTCTGTAAGTTATCCTAGGAATAACTGTATGCCAAAACATTAGGTAACTTAGATGACATGGAAGCTTCCTAGAATTATGCAAATTAATGAAACTAACTCAAGAAGAAACAATCTGACTGCACATACAACAAAGAGATTAAATTAGTATTACAAACTTCTCATAAAGAAAGTCTCAAGTGCAGATAACTTCACTGGTTAATTCTATCACAAATTTGATGTTTAACACAAATCCTACACAAATTCTTCAAAGATAGGACAGAACAACTCCTAAATTATTCAGTAAGGCCAGTATTATTCTGATATCGATGCCAGGCAGAGATATTACAAGGAAAGTACAGAGCAAGATTTCTTAGTAATATGTATGCAAAAATTCTCAACAAAATAATAGAAAACCAAAGTGAGAAATATATAAGAAAGATTATCAAGTTATTAATCAAGTTGGATTTATCCAAGACATACAGAATATGTTTAATACCTGAAAATAAATGTAACACACCAGAATAATAGAATAAGGAACAAAAACTGTATGTTCTTCTCAAGGGATTGTGAGAAAGGATTTGCAAAATTCAACACCCTATCATGATAAAAATCTGTAGATAAACCCTAAGAACAGATGAGAATTTTATCAATTGGTTATAGGGCATTTATTAAAAATCCATTCAGTTAACATCATACCTATTGGTAAAACAATGAATGTCTTTCCCTAAAGACTACACTAAAAGATCTAGCCAAAGCAACTAGACAAGAAAAAGAAATAACAAATATCCAGAATTAGATATGGTCACATAAAACAAAATTTAAATTTGGGGGGCTATAAAGGCACTAAAAGCAATCATCCCTTTGTTGTTCATAAAGACATACAGGGATTTAGCTCAGTGATTCCGCCACCTGCCTTGCAAGTGCAACGACCCAAGTTCAATCCCTGGTACCAAAAAAAAAAAAATTGCAATAAAGATATAAAATGAAAGATTCAAAATGATTCTTCTGAGAAGCATGTGGAAAGCTGTAGATTTCATACCAAACTGGAAAACATTCCCGGTTATTGAAATACCAAAGAGAAATGTGGTATATAAGGACACAACTGCCAGAAAACATAATAGCAATAACTAAAGATTCTAATTTCTTCAACAATTTAATTATTTCCTAATTTGGGGGGGGAGATAAATGGCTGTGAATAAACCACCTGAATTGCATCAGCAACCTGAATTGAAGGAAAACTTCTGGGTAGAAATAAAAAGACTTTTTCAAAAAGTAAAACTTTGGGGCTGGGGATTTAGCTCAGTGGCACCACACATGCCTCAAAACACAAGGTCCTGAGTTTGATCCCTGGTACAAAAACAAAAAAACAGTAAGATTTAGAAGACCATTCAAATCTAGAAAGAGACACCTGGAAGTTACAATGTGAACAAGTATTCCTCTGAAAGTCATCCACCAAACAGGACAAAAATTAAAGAAAGGTAAACAAAAAACTGATTATCTGAATAACTGATAAATCTGTCCGTGGTAGCAGTATAGAATGACTAAATCCTTTTATGCATTTCTCAGTTAGAAGCTTCAACTCCTAATTCATGAAGTGGCTACAAGGACTAGCTACAATTTGACCTGTTCAGCAGGGTAGATGTTTCCAAAGAATCCTCACATTTCACTTTTGACAACCTGTAGAATTTGAGGGGATAAAGGGGCTTTTTGGTACTAAGGATTGAACTGAGGGCCTTCACACTGAACTACATCCAAAGCCCCCCTTTTTTTTCTTTTTATTTCTGGGACAAGTTCTCTCTACATCACTAAATTGTCTGGGCTGGACATGAAGTTGTATTCCTTCCTGCCTGAGCTTCACAAAGCACACAGAAGTGTACCACGACACGTAGCTACAGTGAACTTCTTCAAGATTATGATTTAGTTCAAGGTAGAAACTCAATAAATTGCAATTAAACTACAGTATTTTCTTTAGTAAAATACTTAGAGTGAGGCATTATTCTTATGTTCATCTTGAATTTGCCTAACTCCTGGTATTAAAACAGTAATAATTATCTTTCTAATTAGTTAATCTCATATTTTAAAAAACAAAATCAACCTTGCAACAGACTAAGAGCAAACCGGGAATGTGGAATTTTTGTCTAATTAAAGTTAAATTACTCTCTATTGAGTAAATAATAACACAGAGAATGAAAATATACCCTGAAATTTATCCCAGAACACTAAAATATAAAACACACCCATGTGTCCTTCTAAATTGGTTTAGGCCGTGAGCAGCAAGCCTTGTGGGTAGCTTCAGTGGCTGGAAAATGCTCAAATAACGAAAAGACACTGAATTTGCAGTTCCCAGGGACCCCTACATTTCACTTCCTCAGATTCACAATGAAGCAGTCTGCTGTATTAAGCCAAGTGAAACAATAGTGGACAAAAGGTTAAAGAATGATACAGATAATATCATGGTGGAAACCTATTAGGAACTAATATCCCATTAATATGAAAATTATAAAATAAAACTCATTTTGAAGCTACAATTTTCTGGTACATATTGCTCATGATTTATCCTTGTGTGGGTAAATCTTCTTTGCATAATAAAGAAGAGGATCCTATACACTAAATAAGTTACCAAAGAACATGTGTGCAAATGTAAAAAATGAAAATATGGACATAGTAAGCCAAAGAATAAAGACTGATTCAAAATTGTCCAACCTAAGAGTTCTGAGTCTATCACACAAAGGCTTGGGATCACTCAAGATCATTATTGTTTCAGTAAATAAATCCAAGTGGAAAAAACCGAGCAGATGATGAGACTATTTTACTAACAAAGAAAAAAAATGAAGACAATTTTATGGGTTCTATTCATCAGAATCAAAAAAGACAAAAGAGGAAAGAATTATGGCATGAATGACAGGCAAGTATGTCAAAGTTAAGACTATGGCATAGTAAAAGCAGTGAAGATAAAATAAAAATCCAAGTCTCTTGTGGAGGTATCATTTGCCCTAAAATATATGGCGCAAATTTAATTATATTTCTAAATTCTAATCGTATAATAAACAAAAGATAGCATTATCTGTATTTTACTTAAATACTGTGTCCTGATTTTTATGATTCAAAGAGGTTTTCTGAGTTGATTCTCTTAGCTGTTAGAAATGATACGTTTTAAAGCCAGTGATTTGTAAATAAAAATATGTATATATATATACATAGTAGAAAGAAATGTATAAGTTAGGCAATATGGGAAGAAAACACACACACGTACACACATGCGTGTGCATGTACACACAGGTGAGGCTGCAAGGTCTGCTGCAGATGAAAGTGACAAGTAAGAAATCTTTGAGACAAAACATGATGAATCTATGTCTCAGGAAAAACACATTATTTCCATTCACAAATCACAATTCTTGTAGGACAGATCAAGAATCAGATTTTTAAGAATGTGTTTACCATGCTTCATAATTAAATGAACGGCTCGATGATGCTCCATGTCCTGGAGAATCTGTAAAAGGTCACCGATGGTCTTGTTTTTCTGGGCCCAGGACCACAGTAATTCTCTTGTTCCACTTTTACCTTGGTCTACATATTTTTCAATGTGACGAACATCCAGCCAGCTGCTTGAAAGCCTCTCTGCTATAGAAATTACATTAGAAGGAACCAAAAATTAGTTTACTTTTATTGGCATATTTATGTTTGTTACCTTATATATTTTAGTTCATTTTGTTTCTAATTTTATTTTGAACTTATTTAGCATAGTCTTTACCCATCTTCCATTAATAGTCATATAACTAACCACGGTACAATTACCAGAATTAGTAATAACTAAATTGTAACCCTCATTCTAATTTCAATAGTTCTCCTAATGTATTTTTCTGTTCACAGATCTTATTGTTTTCCTCATTGTATTTAATCATTTCTGCTCTGAATCTTTTCCAATATGATTCCTCAGCTTCTGCTCACCTGTCAGGACAGGGAAATGATAGCACCCTTTTAGCACATAACAGCCAGGGGTCTGTGGTATGGATGTCTTATCACCATTAACATTTACCTGGAATGGGCCGGGGATTTAGCTTAGTGGCGCATGCCTAACTCCCAAGCACAAGGTCCTGAGTTTGATCCCTGGTACAAAAAAAAATTTTTTTTTACCTAGATCATTTGGTTTAAGTGGTGTCTAAAATTACCTTTCTCCTTCTTATAATTAGTATTGAAGGGAGTTCTTTGAGATTGTGGAAATACCTCACTTCTCCTGAGACTTGGCTCACAAATATCTGTACCCATCAGTTGATCTAGTTTATTATAATTATTATTTTGTTATTTGCTTCATGATGATTTTCTACTTTCTTTTTTCTATTTTCATTAACTACAGCTTTTCTGTAGTAAGGACTGTCTTTTCTTTTTATTTATCCAAGCTTTTATGTATATCAGTATGGACTAATAGATACTTTATTCTAATGGTTAAGATCCAATACTATCAGTGTTTTGTGGTTGCTACAGTTGTTCTAGCTTTATTCATCTAGGTGGTTCCTGTGTTTTGATATATTCTATCCTTTTGCCAGGGTTGTTTACCGGGGATCTAACTCGGGACCTTGCTCTTGGTGAGGCAGGCAGAACACTGAGCTAAATCCCGGGTCCTCATTCTATCCTTTTTTCTTTCTAGCACATTCTCATTTTCTGGCTGTATAAGGTGCTCCAGGTTCATTTTGAATTTCTCCTTACTTGGCCAAAGATTCCTAATTTCTTTATTGGACAACTGTGTTTAGAAGCTAGTCTAAGCACTAGATATGCTTAACATGGCCACAGTTCTATTGCTCGACCACCCTTTAACCAAACAGACCTAGGAAATGTATGTATGCACACTAATAAATATCTTCTTGTTTAATTCTACAATACTGCACAAAGTACTTGAGGAATTGCTCTTCCCCACGATGCGAAGCACATTAATGAGATCAAGATGTAATAATTCTTTCATCTTTCGCCTAAGAACATGGACTTAAGATGTTGTCTTCCATAGTTAGTTAAGTGTTCTTTTTTTTTCCACACCTTCGGTGTAGCTATTATTCATTTGTAACACACTTGGATTCAGCTGTTGAAGTTTTTAATGTTTGTTCCACTCTGTCTTGTTGAATGTTACTGAGACATTAAAAGGTAATTTCTGGGTAGGATCAAGGAAGTGGTTCACTAAAATGTTAATCTTTTCTGCACACATGATTTGTTTAGGGCCTTGTACAAATATCTCAAAGTGTTTCTGAGAGTACATGAGCTTTTATGGTGCCCCAGGTCACCAGGATTCTTCAAGTGAAAATGTATTCTGCCTCGCTGCATGACTTCCTAATTTTAAAGTCTACTGTAAGGCAGAAGAGGGAGAGACAGCAATGATAGCAATGACAAAAAAGGTAGTTTTCTTGTTCCTTGTGCTCTCAGGCTAGCTCCATAATTTGAATTTTAAAATTAGCCATGTATTTGTATGCCATTAATGGTATCAGTAGGATCCCCTCACACCTTTACCTTTACTTAGAAACTTTATGATCCCAGAGATAAGTCTGTATATAAAATCCATGTTACCATTCCCAGATTTCTTTTTTTTTAGTTTCTGGACTCCCCTTTACAAGTATAGCTGGTTAGCCAGGCATGGTGGCAAAGGCTTATAATTCCAATACTCTGGGAGGCTGAGGCAGGAGGATTGCAAATTTGAGGCCAGTCTGACCAACTAAGTGAGACCCTGACTCAGAAAAAGAGGTTGGGGATGTAGTTCAGCACTAGAAAATCTGCCTAACATGCATCAAATCCTGGGTTCAATTCCAAAATGGCAAAAATAAAACTTTTTTTAAAATGGAGTGGCCCTTTGCTCTCCCGTCCTGTGACATGGCTGAGAAACTGCTAGTGTAAACCACTCTGCTTTAAGCATACTTCTGAGATTCAGCAGGAGCACCTGTGAACAGATGCCAAAAAGCTAGAGTTTTTAGTTCCCTAACCCTAACCAGGGGCAAATGAGTTTGAGTCTGTACTAAAATCTACTGAAAGCTAATTTATACCAAGGGATTTTTCTTATCCTAGAAGTTCACTGACCGAGGATTCAGTTGGATACTGCCCATACACATGGACTGCTTCCAGGATTAGAAATAAATGTGTTTTCTCTTCATCTGACTGGTGATTGATGATGCAATCTTAATAGCTTTTCTCTAAGGATGATGCATTTGAATAGAAGCACCACTAAAGAGTATTACCAGAATCTATTAAACGTGTAATTTATTTAGATGAAATTCTATAAAACAATAGCTCCAATTTGATGCAACATGCATGCAAATTCTTGATATGTTAATTACATTCTTCAATATTCAGTTTTCTCCAATCTTTCCTAACCTGCTTCTTTCCAGAATACAGGACTTTGTTTATGCACAGCACAAATCAAATAAAAAAAATAGAGGAAAATGCCAATGACTAATTGTGCTGTTAAAGAATATTCTAACTTGTAACTGCAAAGATAAATTCAGACAAATAAGCTGTAGTTAAGCATTGCTTAAAACCATTTTTTTCTCTCAAGTGCAAGGTCTGAGTTTGATCCCCAGTACAAAAACAAAACAAAACATTTTTTAAGCAAATCTTTCTTTGAAAGGCGTCTTGGCATAACATACACCAAAAAAAGCGACATGAAAAGTTGAGAAATCAGTTTATCTGAAGATAATGATTGCTTTGCCAGTAACACTACACACTCAGAGGTCTTTGGAGGTTGTTTTGAGAGTGCAGGACTGTTCAGGTAGTCTAGCCACTGGGGAATTCAGTTGCAGAAATCATATGCAAATATGTCTCTGCAGGGGTTTTTCAGAATAATGCAACAAACCTCTATTTGGAACCTTTGTATTTGCATAAAACCACATGCCAAAACCCTTAGGAAATTAAGACAGCATTCTTGCAAAGTTAGTTTTTAAGGTAATGTAATGGGGAACAGAAAGATGCCTCTTTTTCCTATAAAGCACACACAAAAAGTCAATTTTTTTAAAAGAAACTTTAAGATTACAGATATTTTTAATTCCCAAAAAAGTAAAGCAAAACTCAAAAGTGTAAGTTAGCCATATCCCTGTTAGGATTAACACCTACTAGGGAATAGATTTTATAAGAAATAATAGTTTTCCATACTTAAGCTCATGTGTGCTTTGTATCCCGTACATGAATAAGATTCATATTCCATACATGGGGACAGAGAAAGCTATGTATGATTCTTCAAGTGTCTCTTAGACCAAGTAAGGACCTAACCTAAAATTAACTACCTCTGGTAGAAAATTTGAGAGCAGTTCATGCTCAGTCTTAGTGTTTCACACTACAATTCAGAGGTTGTATAATTTCATACCCAGGTAATTGATCAATACTATTTTTCCATATAGTTTTGGTTTAACATCTTTATAGCATTTGACAGATCTGTTGCCTACACTAAATTTGTAAATCTGTAAAAGCAGGAACTATATTGTTATATAGATAGTACAAGGCTTTGCCTAAGACCTGTCCATCAAGGTTTTGGTTATTGTTTTAGTACTGGGGATTGAACTCAAGCCTTCTCACTAATTATGTCCCCACCCCCCCTTTTGTTTGGTTTGTTTTGTTTTGAGGTGGGGTCTTGCTAAAATGTTGGCTAGCCTGGAACCTTCTATCCTCCTGCCCCAGATTTCCAAGGTGCTGGGATTACAGGTGTGTACTACCATCCCTGGATGATTTGGGATGCTTAACAGACATCTGTCCATTCATTAGTTCATTCAAAATACAGATATTGATATTTAAAGAATGCCTGTTCCGTGCCATAATTTTAGATGCTAGGAGAGTTGATAGGAAATAATGTTTTAAAAAAAATCCCTGCTTTTATGAAGCTTATTTCTAAATGGACAATAAACAAATAAATATGGAGGGTGTGAGAGGTGATAAACTATACAGAGAAAAATCAAAGCAGGAGAGGAACAGATCATAAGGAGTGGAGGGGGGATATCAATTTTTAAAAAGAGTCATGGTGGGTGACAGCTAAGCAAAATATGAAGCAAGTAAAGAAGCAAACCTCAAGATTATCTACAAGAAAAATGTTCCTTGCATGTTCAAGGAATGAGGAGGATGGTGTGGGTAGAGTCAAGCAAACAAGAGGGTGAAGGAAGCTGGAGAAGCTGTATAGAAGTTCGGTGTTTATCCTGAGTAGGGTGGGAAGTTTCCAGAGAGCTCAGAATGGAATATCATCATATACTTTACTTGCTTAACAACCTTGGTGACAGTTGTGTTGAAAAGGGCAGTAGTAGGGAGTCCAGTAAGACGGCTACTAAAGTAACCCAGGTGAGATATGATGGGACCAGGACAGCTGTGGTAGCAGTGATAAGAAATGATTAGAAGATTGGATAGCTCCTAAAGTCAGAGTCAAAACATCAATCTCTGAGAGACAGGATGCTGTGTGTGAAAGAAAGACTAATCTTTTGGCCTAAATAAATGAAGGCTGGCTTGCCTTTCACCAAGATGGTGGGAGTGGCATTTCTGGAATGTTAAAATTGGAAACATCCGTCAAACAGGCAAATAGATGGTGATGCTGACATTCAAGAGAAAGAAGTA